GGGTCCATCTGGTCCAACTTCTGCAAAGGCAGGACACCCAGAGCAGGCTGCCCAGGACCATGTCCAGGAAGCTTCTGAAGATCTCCAGGGAGGAGACTCCAAAGCCTTTCTGGGTGGCCTGTGCCAGTGCTCCGTTGCCTGCACAGCACAGAAGTGCTTCCTGGTGTTTGGATGGAGTCTTCTGTATTCCAGTCTGTGCCCAGTGCTTTTTGTCCTGGCACTGTTAGGAAGTGTGCTGGCACTTTTAGAAGATTGTCTTGTGCCCTATTAGAAAGAGTCTGGCTCTGTCTTCTCCACATCCTCCCTGCAGGTATTTACAGACACTGGCAAGACCTCTTCTGAACCGCCTTCTCTCCAGGCTTAGCACTCCCAGCTCTTTCAGCCTTTCCTCAGAGGAGAGATTCTCCAGGACTCCCATTATCCTCAGCTCTCTTCAGAATGTCCCTCGTACTGGGGAGACCAGAACTGGACACAGCACTCTAGGTGTAGACTACAAGTGCTGAGCAAAGGCCAAGGATCACCTTCCTCAGCTGGCTGGCAATACTCCTGCAGCCCAGGATATTGTTGGCCTTCTTTGCTGCAAGGGCACGCTGCTGGCTCACATTCAACTTGCTGTCCAGCAAGACCCCCCCCCAGAGCCTTTTCTGCAGTTACTTTCTAGATTCTTTTACCTCTTTCCTGATGAACAGAACTAATTGTAAAAGTTCATAGCAATCAAATGTGATTTAGAGAGATCCTGTATGAAACAGTGTCACTGCTAATTACACAGGCAGAAATTTGGTGCCCCTGTTCACTGCAGGATAGTTGGACTAGATGGCCTTCAGTGGTCCCTTCCACGATTCTATGACCTTTATTTTGTCTGAAAAGAATTTCTAAGAGGTTTAATTGAATTTCCAAAGGAAATCTCTCACCATTGTCTAATTTCATTGTCTAACACCACCGGTAGTGGCAATTAAAGCATGATCGTGAATAGGTTTACTAGTATTCCCATAGTCATAACACCCAGCACCACGGCTCAGAGAGCTCCAAATCCAGGTGGTGCCAGAGCGTCGGGACTGCCACAGTGGGAAGGACTGCAGGATGGTCGTGCAGCGGCGGGAGATCACGGATGCGTCTCGCTTCCTGGGGAGCGGATGCCAGGAGGGAAGCACGGCTCTCGTTTGAACCGTAGTACTGCAAAGTGGATCACAGCTTCAGACAAGCCCTTGAGACACCTCACTGTTTCCGGCATAAAGCACCACTGAAGGGGAGGGAAAGGAGACAAATTCCCGCAAATCGCTGGAAGCCAGACGTTGCACTGGAAAACACTTGGGAAGCAACTCTGATCTCCAGGATGTGCGGCGTCCCTCAGCTCGCTTCCCCGCCCCTCCCGGCCCGGGGACCCTCTCGACAGGAGCCGTTGTCCCGCAGAACGTTCTGCGCCGGGGCTCGGGGAGGGCATCCTGCCGGGATGCCGCAGCCCTGCCGGGAGATCCGCGGCGCCGGGCACCGAGCGAGCGTCGCACCGCACCGTGCCGGTCCCTCAGCGGGAGCGGAGCGGGTACCCGCCGCTAGGTCCCGCCCCAGCTCGAGGCACGGGGGCGGCGGGTGGAGGTCGGTGTGACCGGGCCACGGACATCCCGAGCCGGGTTACCGGCGGCGCCCAGCCTTCCCGTGACGGCCACGCCGCGGCATTCTGAGTGAGCACCTCCCGTCTCACCGGCCACAGAGCCCCCGAGCACCCGCTGGCCGAGCACCCGCGCC